TTTTTCGAATTTCTTGTGCTCCTCGATACTTTATCGTTGACATTATCTTGCTCAAATATGCAAAGCGGACTTATTTACATATATTTGACAATGATGTAATGATGACAATTCGATATTCTTTGTCATTGATAATAAAAATAATATAAGATACTTACTATAATTAAAAATAACAATCATTAAAATAAATAGCAAATAGAGATTTAATTATTAATATTGCATTGTTTACCAACCGTAGCGTTATCGTAAATTAAATTTTATTAAGATGATAAAAACTTTTGCATCTTGTGTAAAGTATTAAACCTTGCTTTTTTTAGAATCTTTGTTGTCTGACTCGAAAACTTCATGGAATAATCTTTTTTTTTCTTCTAGATCTTTCTCGAATTTTTCAATATCTATTACTTCTCCCAACATTCCCTCTAACTCTTCGTCATTAACTTCATTTCCTAAAATCACATCTCCACTAAAAATCAAAGATCTTCTTTGGATTTCATACTCTATTATATTAAAATTATCACATTCTTCCATAGTATAATTACTATCAAACCTCTTAGCATGTATCTTAGTCTCGCTAATTATACTCCTTTCAATTACAATATCCTCGTTGCTAGTACCACTACTAATGTTACTTTTTTATTATATTATTCACGTTATCTTCATTTTCATACCTTTCAACTGCCCATCTACGTTGAAAATAATCATAGGTTTCTAATCTTACACAATCACTACGCATAACTCCCCATACGTCAATTTCATACAAGAGGATTTCGTTCCTCTTTTGCGTTAGAGAAATTTCATACATCATTTTACAAACATTATCAGTAAAATTTCTAATATGAAAAGCATTTTTACTGAGTTTTCTGATTTTCCCTTTTATTAATCTTTCATTATCACATATTAACATCTTGATACGTAAAGGATCCAAACGACGCATAGCATCAACATGAAAGTTCGAACCGCGGTGGTTAAAGCACTCGTTGTATTGAATAATGAGACGTCTTAACTCCTGACCATCGTATTTGTATATATCCACGTTGTAATGGATACCTTTTCTTTTAAAAAAATATTCACTTTCGTTTTTACACGCAACCATGAGTTCGTAAATGTCGTTAATGTTGACGGTTTCTTCGTTACTCATGCTCAAAATATTTAAAATCAATTAGTAACGTATGCATAACTGTAGGGGGTAAATATTATGTAGATACGTAAACAATTAATTATTGATTAATTAACTGATTAATTTACTAATTGATATCTCTATTATTTAGTTGAACTTTTTTTCGCCAATTGTTTAATTCATCATTGATTAGTTTAATTACTTTTAACTAATAGTAACCGGTTTTATGAATGCAAGATTTTTTTATTAAAAGGGCAGAAAATCGGATTACCGTTAGCACGTAACATGGAAAACAAAAATCCATATTATTTAATCGCTAAAGGTAAATATACGATAAAAAAAAATTTGTAAAATTATTTTATTAACCATTGTATTTATAGGACTTGAATATTTTAAAGTAAGAAATGATCATGAGGAAGAACGTAAGGGCCTTGATAATAAGGGTAAGTATTAATATAAATAACTATAATATTCTTTTAGAGACGAATTTCATTCTGATATTTTAACAGATAGAGTCCATTGCCAAAACGAATGTGACTTAAAAGAAATGGCTTTATTAAGACCCAATCATCCATCTCATTTTAATAAATTACTTGGATCCTTATATGCCATTTGGCCAGACTTCATTCAAACAATGACCATAAACGCTGATCGAACTTTCGATGTTACATTTAAAGATCAAACAAAAGCAAAGATCAGGTTCCATCCTGTTGCTAATCGGACAACATTAAACGAAATTGTTATGGCTTTGGATAAACTTGATCTTACGATCACAGAGGAGTTACTGGTGTATGAAAATAACCAAAATTATATACCAGATGTATCCAATACAAAGTTTGTACTATATATTATCAATTTTGGTATGATGGTCATGCTCTATACAATAAAAGTGTACAAATAGTCTATATATGCTGATAATCGTAGCATTAATTGAAAGTAGTTATGATCATCAAAAATTTTCCGGGTCCCGGTTTACTCGATATAAGAAAATCTG